ATAAACTTAGTCCGTTACGTCCTAAAGAACGAAACGCGTCACACGAAACCTTTTTCCACTTTGTCATACTTCTTTTCCCTAAAATTGTTCTTGATATATAAAAAACATATATTTCGCTATCCTATATATATATATATATATATATATATATATATATATATATATATATATATTTAAAATTCTCAGCGTCTCACTTTCGCATCAACGTAAACATAAACTTAGTCCGATGACATCCTAGAGAACGAAACGCGTCACACGAAACCTTTTTCCACTTTGTCATAATTCTTTTCCCTAAAATTGTTCTTGATATATAAAAAACATATATTTCGCTATCCCATATATATATATATATATATATATATATACACACACACACACACATATATATATATGGTGGGCTCTCCCGTCGTATTCGATGTATGAGGGTCAAGCAGCTCAGTTCCTAGAAACCGACAGCCAGACACCAGCACATATGATTTGATTATAGTGGTGAATGCTTTGTGCAGAACCAGCCACAAGGGCCGAATACAGAGACCTAGTGCACTGCGTGCCACGAGGTCACCAAACGACTCTCCTCAGGCTTTGAATTCATAGTTATCCTTCTTCTAGAATTTACCCATATCTGGAGGGAGAAGAAAAGGATTAATACCTTCCCCAATGGTATTAGCACGTAAGTGAATGTAATGTATTCGACTCTCCGATTTCTCAATCCGATCCGCTATCCACTACTCCACCATGCCCTCGATATATATATATATATATATATATATATATATATATATATATATATATATATATATATATGGCCGTTGGTTTCGAAAAAGGACCGCCAATCGGTTGTTGACTGGGACAAGAAATGGCTGATTAACTTTAATGCTTCAAAAACAAAACTGCTCTTCATTAACCACCATAGAGAACACTCCCTGCTTCCCATTAGAATGTCTGATGTTCTTTGCGACTGCTTGGTCTCACACTGTCTGCTGACCTCAGATGGCACAATAGCTTCATCTGCCACAAGGGAAGTTGTTTCTCTGTGCCGCGCCAGAAAGTCCATCCTTCAAATCTATAAATCAACCATTCGCCCTTGCATGGAATATTGCTGTCATATAGGGTCTGCAATCCCCGCTGTTCGTCTTAGGGTGGTCCTCCAGAGACGAATATGCAATATGGTTGGCCCTAATCTGGCATCTCATTTACAGTCGCTCTCTTACAGACGTGCCGTCACCTCCCTCTGTCTTTTCTACAAATACTTTCACGGTAACTGCTCCGAGCTATTTTCGCTAATTCCCAAACTGCAAGAATTTAAGCGTGCTACTAGGTTGGCATCTCAGTCTCACCCTTTCACTGTAGAAACAGTTAAATGTAGCCGTCTCTTCTACTACAATAGATTCATGTCTCGCACTTCCCGTCTGTGGAACTCCCTTCCTCTTACTTGCTTCCCTGATGGCTATAATCTCCAACTATTCAAATGCAATGTCAATCGACATCTCCAGATGCCTTGATCTATTCCCTGTCCTTCTCTTCATCCTTTCCGCTTTCATGCCTCTTTACTCTTGCTCCTACTTTCTGTGACCCCTTGCGTGCTAGTGGCACTCCCGCCTTCCTTGAGGTGAAAAGTTTTAAATATATATATATATATATATATATATATATATATATAGATAGATAGATAGATAGATAGATAGATAGATACCAAAAAGAATAAACTAGTTCACTAAACATAATGCTTCGCAACAATCTAATCAACAAGGAAACATACACAACACTTACACCCACAAACATCACACCTGTTCGCTTCTATCTCCTTCCTAAAATACATAAAAGCAACAACCGAGGAAGGACGGTCATTTCATCATTCAACTGCCACACTACCAACATTTTCAAATACGTAGACCATTACATAAAACCCCTAGCTAAGGAAGTAAAATCCTACATCAGAGACACAACAGATCTACTAAACAAAATTAGTCACATACAAACAGTGCCAGAGAATGCGAAACTAGTGACTATGGACGTAAGTTCACTATTCAAACATTAAACACATCGAAGGGCTAACCGCCCTTCAGGAAGCACTTACTAAAAGAAGAAAACAAGACCCCCCCCCGCCACAGAAGTTATCATAAAGCTCATGGAGCATATTCTTACATTGAATACTTTCAACTTCAATGGAGCACACTATCTGCAAGTAAGAGGCTGTGCCATGGGCACCATTGCAGCTCTATCATATGCTACAATATTCATGGGAAAATTTGAGGAGACCCATATCTATCCCCTCATCGGTAGCGACTGCGTATTCTATGCAAGATATACACGAGCAGTGACGACAAACGTATCCAATTCCTCATGACCCTGAACACAGTGCACGACTCAATTAAGTTTGACTATGAAAAATCCACAAGATCGGTAACAATTTTAGTCACCCGCATTTACATAGATGAAAACAGGAAACTACAAACGACACTACACACTAAAATAACCGACAACCACAACTATCTACACTTTAAGTCTTCCCACCCTAAACACCTCAAAGAGAACCTTCCCTATTCACAAGCACTTAGACTCAGAAGGATATGTTCCAACAATGAAGAATTAAATAAACACATTGAAAATCTGGAGAATCAATTCACAACAAGTGGCTATAAACAACACCTAATCAAGGAACAAATAAATAAAGCAATTTCCACACCCAGAGAAGAAATAAACCCAGCCGCATCCCTCTAGTAAGCACTTTCAACCCCACTCTGCCTCCACTATCCAAAATAATCAAAAGTCACTGGGAAATATTACATCTCAAACCAGACCTAAAAAAAAATATTTAAGGAACCCGGCCTTCTAGCATATCGTAGACCTAAGAACCTAAAAGAAATCATAGGTAGTAACCACATTTCAGGGGACAAGATAATCCGTAATAAACCAACAACAAAAACAACAGGATTTCCCAACCATGTAACAACAAAAGGAGCTTATGCTGCAACCACATTAGACACACGAATTCATTCACTAGCTTAGTCACTAAATCTACTTTCAAAATCTGCCACGACTCTAACTGTAGAAGTCATAAAATAATTTACCTCCTAGAATGCCAGAAACAATATGTGGGTAAATCTGAATTGCTCTTTCACTACAGAATTAATAATTATCGCAATCGAATTAAGTCGACTTCCCATGAAAGATTATTACCTGTAGAACAACATTTCCGCCTAAAAAAACACGATTTCAAAACCCATGCCAAATTCACTATAATTCAGAGAATAGAAAAGTTCAGAGCAGATAACATTAGAAAGATTTTAGAGTTCCATGAAAATAAGTGGATACAACGTTTAAAAACACACTGTGCAGGCGGGCTTAATAACAAATTTAACAATTATACGTAGTATTAATATATAACCCCACAAATCACATTTCTCACATACACAAGACAGACATGCTTACGGAGGTGTTGAGGCCTCACACTTATACACACACCCACAGGAATATACACACTTACACAAACCACACTCACTCACTCCCTAATGAGCCAAATGATAACACACACCCATAGTAACATACACGCTTACATACATCATACTCACTCACTCCCTAAGAACCAAATAACACACACACACACACTTAACAGAGACAATAAAACTGTCAAAATTACCAAGGGAATTCAGAGCAGTATGAATCTATCCAGCTCTTATCTTAAATAACAACTTAAAAGAGATTGTTTGACGAACACAAGGCCTGACCAAAATTCAAGTTAAAAAAAAAAAATAGAAAGCAAATGAAAACTACAGACAAAAGTTCATTTTCTCCGTCAAGACATTCATTTCTGTAGTTCACTGCTACCAGCAAGCAGAATTTTTTTTTCTCCTGATGATGGCCATTTTGGCGCCGAAACTAGTCGAGGAATCTAAATGAAATAATAAAAACGAAAGAATATTAACATACAACCCAGTGTTTCTGAAGAATTTAATTTTTTAATATTTTTTATTGTTCAATATATATATATATATATATATATATGGGGTTAGTATGTGTGAGAGAAAAAGTGTATACAATTCCCTCCCCCCACATATATATATATATATATATATATATATATATAGAGAGAGAGAGAGAGAGAGAGTGAAAGAGAGAGAGAAATGGAAAGAGAAAGAGTGAAATCAGTGAGGAAAGTGCGCAGGTATAAATTCAAAATCTCCAATACACAAAAACAGTGCTTATCAGCTACTTATAATCAAATGTAGACATTTTTTTTTATATACAAGCTGTCTTTCAAGATATCTCAAGTCCTTATCACTCGTCTCAAAGCGATAAATAGTAGGCAAAAAGAACGAGGCCTCATGGCTGAAAATGTGTTACAGGGGGTTGGGAAGGAGAGATCAGCATTTACCAAAATAATGAAAAAAAAAAAAAAAAAAGTTGCATGGTGAGCAATGGTGATAGACGGGAGACAGCTGAAGTCGAAACGGTGGGGTTGGGTGAATTCAGATCGCGTCCGACGGTAAGAATATCATTGCGTCGTACATGTAATCTGTTGGGCATGCTTCAGGCGCGTATAAAAGTCTCGATGTAGCCGTACGCAAATAGACATGGTTTTCGCGCGCTTCTACACCATGCATGCAATATACACGCGGGCAAACATCATAGAAACACGAATAGATCTTTGTAATCATAAATGAAGATGTTGAAGATAAACGCGCGTGCCTTCTAAGCATTTTTTTTTTTTTTTGGCTGCTAACATTTTTTCGGTCTTTTTTTCTCACTATGTACGTCAATAAATCAGTTAAGTAGAAAAGCAAGTACAGCAAAAAAAAAAAAAGCGCAAACAAAGGGACAAAGCCAAATGCCAAAGCGAGTACTTGTAAATAGAAATACCTTCCTTTTGGCGAACTTCTACGTCTCTTTTCCATCTTCTCTTTTCCATCTTCTATTTCTCAGTCATTCTTTCTTTTTTATTTTCTCCTCTTTTTTTTCTGTTTTTCTATCACTTTCTTTCCGTCTTTCCCTCTATTTAGTTCGGGTTTTGCCCTCTCTTTGTTTCGTTCTTTCGTTCTTTCTTTCTTTCCCCAATTTCTCTTTCTTTATATTCTGTCCTCCTTTCCTTTTTCTTTCCCTGATTTTCCTTTTCTTTCTTTCTTTTTTCTTTCTTTCTTTTTTCTTTCTTTCTTTTTTCTCCAATTTCTCTTTCATCCTTTACATTCTGCCCTCCTTTCCTTTTTCTTTCTTTAATTTTCTTTTTTTCTTTTTTTCTTTCTTTCTTTCTTTCTTTCTTCGTCTTTCCCTTCTTTCTTTTTCTGATTTTCCTTCTCTTTCTTTCTTTCTTTCTTTCATTGATTTTATCTTTCTTTAATTCTTTCTCCAATTTTCAATTTCTTTCTTCGCCTTCTTCCCTCTTTTACCGCAGTTTTCTCTTCTTTCTTTACCTCTTTCTTTCCGTGTTTCCCCTCCCTTTCTTTCCGCCTTTCATCCGCTCTTGATCCTGATTTACACTTTCCTTTAATCCCTGATTTGTTCTACCCTTCTTTCTCTACTTTTCTCTGTCTACATTTCCCTACATTTCTTTTTCTTTCTTTACCTTATCGTCCCATTTTCTTTCCTTAATTTTCTCTTTTTCTATCCCAACTTTTCTATTTATTCCTCTTTCTTTTCCTCCTTTCCTTCTTTCTTTCCATTTTTTATTTCTTCTTTTCTTCCTCTCTTCATTTATTTCGACTTACTCGTCTTTCAAATCATTAAGATTGAATCTAAACATGGCCGGCTACTTCATAAATAATTCCAGACTTGTCAGAGCCTAAATAAAGAATTGTCCTCAGAATCACTTTCGTTTATCATGAAAGAGAGAGAGAGAGAGAGAGAGAGAGAGAGAGAGAGAAATTAGAACGTGGGGAGTTGATACACACATCACATATTTAGTTGTAAGAAGTTCAAATGCACAGAAATGCTTGCTTTGAAATACACATTTTGATGAAAGAAAATCTCTTTTACAAAAGACTGACGCAACATAATCTTCATATATATCAGATATAATGAGGATTCTGATTTATTTGGGTGCAGTCTTGAGCCACATATTTTTAAACAGAAAGAAGTAGTAAATAAAGAGAGAGAGAAAGAGAGAGAGAGAGAAAGATTTCTACTATGTAGGTTTTGCAGAGTTCAGGTACAAAAACGTAAAAATTATTAGTTTCATTTTGGAATTTGGAATTTCTAAGAATGATACTATAATTATCTTAGCTGCCGAATAAGAGGAGACATCTATTTTATTTTATTTATTTATCTTATTAAGGCATTTTTCGGCGCTGCCTCGTTCATTAATTTCTTATTTTTAACCCTTTAAATTATTTTCCGACGCCATTTTTCTTAAGATCTTTCGTTTATTGAAAAATCCCGTCTCCCCAATTATTAATATCCCCTTATATAAGGCAATTATTAATATCTCCTTATATAAGGCACCTAAAATGATGTTCTTAACAAATGAATTTAGCTTTATTAGATTTGAACGGGTTTTTGCTTATCAAATGACCTAATAAAAGCGGAAGGCGGGAAAGTCTTTGAAAATAAAAAACGACAACATGTTGACTGTGCACCAGTTGCAAGATAATGCACCAGAATAAACAAATTAGAAATGCTGTTATGATGCGATGGGCAACTGTTGGAAATAAGATGAATAAAAGAAAAAACAAAACAAAACAAAAACAGAAACAAACTGATTTTTGTGTGGTTCGGTGAGAAAAGCACTCGCTCTCTGTCAACGGCAATTAGTATATTCTGTAGTGGATTCAGAACGACAAAGTTGTGAAAATAGACCCACGTGTTTAGTCAGCGGTCTGCTTTTAGCTATGTCGCACTTTGCAAATTACAACGACAGACAATTAGCAGTAATTACATTCTGAGATAACCAATTTAGCAAAAAAAAAAAAAAAACATCTCCAGTCTAGTGAATATTCCAATGAAAAGCAAACACACTGCAGCGGCCGTTTCGTCCGATTTCCCGTTACTTCGAGAATTCTTTAATTCTACGTGCTTAGAAACTCTGCCATTTTAGTCACAATATTCTCTTTCTTCGCAGCAAGTTTAGAGACCAAAAGACAATTCTCAATCCACGTCCACAAAATAGAGACTGACAAACATTCATGAATAATCATCGCATTGAATAAGGCATTGAATAAGAGAGTTCTATTCAAATGCATAATTAATGCAAATAACGGGGAAAATTATACATACTTTGCAATAACTGTTTCCGTGAGCTTCAAAACGAAAATATTAGAGAAATTTATGAACACAGTATATATAATTAACTGTTATTTTGTTGACGATCAAGCGATAAATTGCATAATTGTTTCGATGTTTGTCTTTAGTGAAAACTCCAGGCGGAAGTGATCAATTGCTTTTTATAAGGAAAAAAAATACTGGATAATTAAGTCAAAGCAGAAAAAAAAAAGAAATATCTATCTATCTATGTGCCTATCTGTGACCTCAGTCTGTTCCTTCCTTCCTATCTATCTATCTATCTATCTATCTATCTATCTCAATCTCTTTATATCTATCTCAATCTCTTTATATCTATCTATCTATCTATCTATCTATCTATCTATCTATCTATCTATCTATCTCAATCTCTTCATATCTGTCTATCTCAGTCTCTTTATATCTATCTATCTATCTATCTATCTATCTATCTATCTATCCTTCAATGAATTCGACTAATAATATCAATTCGTTTAATTTTTTCCACATTTTTCTAGTTCGCGTATACACAGTTACACACCTAGATTTTGTTTTTGCTTGCGTGCTTTCGATAATCACTATAATAGTCACTAGTGATGGTCGAAATTATTCAAACAAAAACTTTATGAATTTTTGACAGTTTCTTTGTAAGTTTGATCAGGATATGCGACAGCTTATACGCAAACTGGAAAAAAGATAATAAAATATAATATAACCTTGATATAATAATATAATATAACCAAGATATAAAAAAATCAATAAAGAGCTCAATTTAAAAACAGAACTAATTAAGATATCTTATATATATTTATTAAAGACATTTTTATGTTTAACGTTGTTTTTTATAGATACAAGTATTTAAGTAAATGCTCTGTTTATGATAAACAGTATTAAATAACATTTACCGGCCTGAATGTCCGAGAAATTTTCATAGAAAATATTCGTTCTTTGACAGGATTCGAACCTGCATCCTATACGGAACCGTCATTTACGCTGACGTGCCTTATCCGATCGGCCACAAAGGAGCGTTCGGTAGACAAGGTCGAATTTACTGCTTATAAACTTCAATCTTCCATGAATCTCGTACATTCATAACTGCTCTGGCGTATCAAATGTAAACAAATGACGTCATATATTAAGAAATGGACAAAGTCCAACAATTTATTTATTAAAGACATTTTTATGTTTAACGTTGTTTTTTATAGATACAAGTATTTAAGTAAATGCTCTGTTTATGATAAACAGTATTAAATAACATTTACCGGCCTGTAAATGTTATTTAATACTGTTTACTTAAATACTTGTATCTATAAAAAACAGCGTTAAACATAAAAATGTCTTTAATAAATAAATTGTCGGACTTTGTCCATTTCTTAATATATATATATATATATATAGCGAGAGAGAGAAAGAGGGGGGAGGGAGATAGGGAGAGAGAGGGGATGGGTTCTCAAGCCATACTATTTCGCAAAATGTAACTGAATATCAGATTTGTTGAAGGGATACCTTTTGGGTTGGGCCGCAAACATTTCAGCACTCCTTGTATATATATATATATATATATATATATATATATATATATATATATGTGTGTGTGTGTGTGTGTGTGTGTGTGTGTGTGTGTGTGTGTGTGTGTGTGTTTCTACGTCATCAGATGTGTCATTTACATGCAGATGAGTCATTTGCCAATGTCTGTACAGTAGAAATCACAATAGACGTTTGTTTAATTTAAGCATGTCCACTGTTTTCGCGGAAAAACAGCATAGCGTAAATGAAAAATGCCACAAACTTAAAGAAAATAAAGTATTATCGTCAAAATGCTTATGTTATTATTAAGATGAAAGAAAAAAGTATTTTTAATTATTTTTGAAATTTTGAATATTTTCTAACACGTTCGAAATTTTGGTTAAAGTCGTCTTTGTTTACGTCATCGCGGCGACGTTTAAAATAACATTGTTTTTTTTTTGCGTTTTTTTCCTGTTGAAAACATATTGATTTGGAAATTCTTGTAAAAATAAAATAATTGTCCAATCTTAATGAAATTTTCAGGACTTATTCACAAATGAATGAAATTATTTTTGAAATATTTTGTTTTTAGAAAATTTTGGTAAAAAATATTTTTTTTTAAATATGTTTCACAAATTTATCGATTTTAAAAATCGATAAATTTGTGTTTGTTTACAAATTTCTTAAAATTAAGAAAATTGCCGTTTTTAAGAAAATTTAAAAATTTGAAATTAAATTTGAAAATCAAATGTATATAGTTTCTATCTGAAATACACCAGAATTGATTAATTAATAGAAATCGTAAATTTAATTATTAAACTTTCAATTAAAGCTAAAATGAAATCTTCAAGAATGTTTTTTCGTTGTAAAAAAATCATTTTAAACTTCAATATAGAAAATTTATGCCGAAATAGTGGAGGTACTTAGTTTAATTTCATATTTTTATCTCTCCGAAACACTATTCTATAATCCTCTTTCCTTATTTATGCCCTCTAGAAATTTCAACTCTCTCTTCCTGATGTTAGGCGTAAGTCTCTTTTTGTTTCCATTTTCTAGAAAGTTTCTTCTTTACATTTTCAATCCATGGTATTCTCAGAACCCTTCTTTAGAATCACATTTCTGTTGCTACAGGTCTCTTCTTCGTCTACGGCGAGATTGTCCAGCATTCACTGTCATATATTGTTTATATCGAAAATTTTGGTTTCTTAATTCTTTGCTTAGCTTTTGGAAAGCATCTTCCGCCATCCCAGTGCGCCTTCGGATATTAGTGTCGTACTTTCTGCCCGCTGTTAAAAAGAACTTCCCAGATACTTAAATTTTTGTATTTGTTTGATTTCCGTATCTCCAATTTGTAAATTGCATGTTGGGATGCCCATTTTGCTCACAACCTTGCATTTTGTCTACTTGCAATTGATATTTAGTCCTTTCTTCTCGTTTTCCTTAATTACTTTCTATAGGAGTTCTTGTAGTTTTCCTTTCTGTGCCTGCTATCAACACTGTCATCTGAATTATGATGTTAAGATTGTGGCCGCCAGTAATGAATCCTGGTAGGACTTCTAATTCTCTCAGATTCGCCCCACATTATAGACTAAATAAGTCCAATCAGAAGACACATCCTTT